TTTTAAGATGAGATAAGAATGTAAATCAATTTTAATAGAATATAATCATCTATAAAAAAAAATAAAAAACAAAAAATTAAATAAACGAGAGCTAACAGGAGCAAACCTATATATTCTAATCCCCTTGAAAAGACCACTAGAACTAACATGTTTATCCAAATTTGAAAAAGCCTCATAAAGAATTACAAACATATAGGGGAAAAAGGGATATCCCTGCCTCAAACCCTAGTAGGCTGAAGAAACCCTAGGCACTTCCATTAACATTAAAAGAAAAGGAAGGAGAACAAATAAAAGCAAGAATTCAAGAGATAAAAGTCTCAAAAGCCTTATTTTCCTACATATGTTAGAAATAAAAGCCCATTACACTCTATCTTACACTTTTGCCATATCAATTGATAGCAATAAAATTCTCTTTGCCTTTTGTTTTGCTATTTAAGAAATTAATAAATTCATTGACAATTACAATATTATTCTAGATTACCTTTGAGGAACAAAGGCAGACTGGGAGGCAAAAATAGAAGAAGACAAAACCAATTTTAACCTATTAGTAAAGATCTTAGTAATAACTTTATATACAATTGTATATATATTATTAGGTATGAAATAAGAAACAGAAACATGATTAGTTTTTTTTAGGAATAAGGGTGATAATGATTCAAACCTTAGGCGTTTTCCCTTTGTTAACAAAATATTGAACAACAAGAATTAAATGGGACTATTGGTAGACCAAAAATTTTGAAAGAAAAATGTTGTCATACCATCAGCGCAAGGGGCCTTATTCCGCTCCATTTTCATAAGGGTTGTTTTAATCTCCAACTTCCCCAGCTCCTTAACTTACCTCAAGTTCATATACTCAATAATTGAAACTGGGATGCCATCTAGATTGTAATTCTGCTCCTGAGGATTAAAGTTCTAAAATTGTTCTCAAAATAAGTCAAAAGCTCAGCTAAAGTTCCACATTGTTCTGACACATGCTCCCGTCAGCCTCAATGTGATTATCTAAGCCATTGACATTTATTATACTTTTCACACATGCCTGAAAGAAATTAGAAATTCTATCTCCTTGTTTAAGCCAATTCACCCTAGATTTTTGCCTCCAGAAGATTTTTTTCATTTTTATAAACTATATGAAGTTCTTCTTTTAAGACTTCCACTCATTTCAGTTTCGAAGGGCCACCTGTTGGTCTAATAGCTTCAATTTTTTTGTTTACAGTTGGCAATTA